ATGAAATGATCAGGGTGCCTCCCACCAGCTAAACTCTGGTCCGAGTCTGCTTCTCTTCGAAAGTGACTGAACCTGACAAGATGAGCAAAGCCATGATACTTGACAAGCAGCGAGCCAGCTACCGAGAGACACAGTGACACACAGACACTAGTAATTCTTTTGAATCAACTGCCGCCTTAAATGCATGCATACATTGAAATTTTTATTCTATTTATAAATTATATTTAGTATATTTTTTTATTTAAAAATATAAAATATTTTTAATTAAATCTCATTTTTAATAAAATATTTTTTATTTTTAATTATTTTTTATATTTATTTTTATTAAACATCTTATAATAAATATAAAATAATTATTAATATGAGCACTTAAAAAAATAATGATTATACTTCGAAAAAATAAAAATACTTTATATTTGTGAACATCTAATTTCTCAAAAAATATCTTATATTTTTTAATAGAGGGAGTATTGTATATTATGATCAGTTTATTATGTTTATCAATAATATACCACTATATATCAATGACAAACCTCTTGTGAATTTTTAAATTTTCAATGATACACCATTTATATATTAATAATAAAATTTTTTGTATATCAATATAAATTCATCATATTCTTAAATTTTTTAAATTTGATCTCTATTTTTTGAACACAATATTTTTTGGGCCAGTGGGCTAATTTATCAAAAGAAAAGTATATTATTAAAATATATATTAAATAAAGGTAAAATTGAGTAATTTTAATAAAATATATTAAAAGTGACTTATAAATAAAATTAGAAGAGTATGTTAAAAAATACATACTTTCAGTGTTATAATTTTCTTTTAATTAATTCATATTTTTAATAATTTGGTTAATAAAATTTAAAATTATACATTTTTTTATATTTACCTTTACTTTATATAAATATATGATATCTCAATTAAAATAATTATTAATTTATATTCAAAGATATAAATTTTTTTTATTAATTATGTCTTAAAATACATAAAAATATCTTATTTTTTTAATATAATAATAAAAAATGGCTTATATTATTTTTTTTGGTAGGAAAAATGGCTTATATTAATTTACTACTCCACATTTATAAGGATGGATAAATATGGGCCAATGACATGGTTCGATATTCAACGCCAGTCACCGTGTAAATAAAACATTTTTTTTAAAATAAAATACCCATTATAAAGGGGCGAATTTACATGTCGAATTTGATATGGATGCAATTTCCAAATCCCTGACGGCAGGACCCAAAAAAGTATATTTTTACAGATCAATTAAATCTCATTATTATTTTTAATATACTCTCTTCTATCTTTATTATAAGTCACCTATAACTAATTCACAAGAATTAAAAAAGTTATTCATATAATTGAAATTGTTTAAAAATGGCTTTGATTTCCATTTTTATATGCAATTATTATCATAAATTTTAAAAACAAATATGTTTTATCTCCTGATTAAAAATTGAGAAGAATAACATATTTAAAATAAATTAATTAATACACATACTCTTACAAAATAATTTATATCTAAAACTATAATTTTTTTTTAAAAAAGATAACTTAATCCCTCCGGTCCCTATATTATAAGAAGCCTTTTAGAAGAATTAATTGGTCTTAGTATAAAGTACTTGATGTGGTATTAATTATTATTTTCTAATATTAATTCTGTTTAAACTCATTATTTAAATATAAGCAAAATTGAAAGTATATTATATCTTTAGAAAAAATTAAAAACTTAATTATCATTCCTTAATTGTGATAAGGTAATTAGAAATACCTTAAAACAATAATAAGAGAATATATTATATCAAACTAGAGAGAATATATATTAAAAGAAGAAGAGGGAAAGTAGTTAAAATCCACATGTTTAGATTTTGGAATGAGAAAGGATACCGTTGATGATTCATTCACTCATTTGTCAAATTGCGCAGAACTACGTGTTTATCAGGTTGTGCACCATTTTTTTTTTTGGGGAATTGCACAAAAATCCGGTTTTGAACAGTTCGGATATAAATATATTAATTTATATTCTTATTTTAACTTTATAATTATTAAAATAAATTTTTTAATAAATATGTTCACCATCCACAATACATATTCAATTTAAATGATGAATTTAATATTAATTTTTTATAAAACTTATAAATTAACTATTGACATGTGCTTTTGATTGTCTACATTTAATTATAAATTTTATTTTGAAAAATATAAGATTAAAAATAAAGATAATATCTTGCCTGGAATTTTTTTTAAAAAATATTTCTCAAAAAAGATGTAAGTTAAAATTTTTAAATCTAGACCATATAAAATAAATCTAGATAGTTAATCTATTATAAAAATTATTAATATTATATTTGAATCATCCAAATTTTAAGTATGTTCCTAGTAGTGATACGTAAATTCATCAAAAAATTATAATTTTTATATTAATAAATATCAGATAAAAATATAAATTAAACACTTTAAATTTGAATTATCCATATTTCATCAGTGGTGATGAGCACCATCCTTTTATGATCATTGAAGTTAAAGCATGGTTAGACGCTAATGTGAGTATTTCTATCAAAAAAGAATTTAAATCTTAGTTCATCATGTTATAAGAGATTAATTCCTTCTACTAGATCTAATTTCATTAGTAGATAAAGTGATACCATTTAATATCAAACAAAGGTTGTTTGGATAAGGAGAAAACTAACAACAGCACAACAAAAACAAAACCCAAAAAAAAAAATGAAAACAAAAGTAAAGATGAACAAAAAAAATGAAACAATTATATACAAGTCTCATAATAAAAAATTAATTATCACAAAATTTATTAACAACTGAACTGAAAAACCTTAATTCAGTTATTAATAGATATTATAATAATTAAATTTTTTGTGTGAAATTTTAACATAATTCTCTCAAAAAAAAAAATCACAACATCAAAACAAAACCCAATCAATAAATGAGCGCATCTCTAAAACAGCTGCTGTTACAAACCAAACAGCCCATCAATAACTACAATAAAAAAGAAATATTTATAAATTATTTACTATTAATTATGTACTTTTAACAGGGTATACTCCCTTAGGACCACAATATAGATAGCGTTCTAGAAAATTTGCTTGGGTAGGTGTTATATATATATATATATATATATTCCAATCACACTCTTACATTATTAAGTAATTAATGAAAGTGTTTTGAATAATTAAATATTATATTTATTACACTTAAGAGCATGATTGAAAAAAATATAAAATTTTTTCAAAAAAACATATTTTAAATAATTTTTTTAAAAATATAAATTAGTTAACAATGATGAATTGACACTCAACTAGGTTATTGGTGCTCTTAGAGCTCGTTTAGTTTCTATTCTCATTTTTTATTTTTAAAAATGATTTTGTAGTACAGTTTTTGAAATTATTTTTAAAACAAAATAAAATAAAAATCTGTTTAGTTATGTCAATTAGAAAATAATTTGAAAATTTAAAATAGACTGATAGTGATAGTTATAAGCAGTTAATGATAATGACTAATAATAAAAATTAATCAAGGTAAGTATAATTTCTAATAATCAAATATAATATATTATAAAAATAAGAAAAATTAAAATGAAAACAACCTAAAGTTGTTTCTATTTTTTTGATTTTAACAACAAAAAATGAAAATAATTTTAAAAATAATTAAATGAAAAACACTTATTTAAACAAAATTTTAAATTTTTCTATTTTTGAAAACAAAAAGTAATTTTTAAAAACAGAAAACAAACAAACCCTTACTCTTCAGGGATTGAAAATTATGTATAGTTCCTAGATAAAAACCATATTTATAAATAAGTTTTACAAATTTGTGAAGATACGGCACGTGTGTGTGAAAATATTACACTTCCCTAGCTTTAGACATATCCAATTAGAAATTACGAGATTTTACTTTCAATTTGTAAATTACAATATTCCAGTTGTAAATTTGTGAGAACTAGTTGCAAATATGAGAGAAAGATGTCATTGTAGGCTTATGTTTTTAACTAGTTTTCACGAATTTACAGTTCACAAATCATAATTTACAACCAAAATTTTGTTATTTACAATATAGCATGTCCGAAGTTGGGCAGTGCGATTTTTACACATTCATGACAATTTTTTTTTTTTACCAGCATCATGACAAATTAAATGAGGTGATTTGAAGGAACTTGATTGTATTTTTACATATTTGCAAGAATTTTTTTTATAAATAAATCGCTTATTTAGAATTTATACATAATTTTCCCTACTTTTTATTACTTGAAAGCACACTTATATAATCATGGGTCTAATTAAATATTTTAGTTTATATATCAAGCCTCTATAGAAGCAGGTTAGATTTGTCCCCCTCCATATAATCCACCGGTTCAGTTGGGCGTTCTACTTAACCTTTTTTATTTATTTATTTTTAAACTCTGCCTGTCTTAGCCGCAACATTAGGTGATTTTTATAAGAGGTTTTCTAGAAATTTTTTGGTCCATAATATAAAGTAGGGTTAAAGTTTAATTATGTCACTGAACATTTTCCAGGCATTAATAAAAAAAAAAAATTTCCATGCACATTGTTGAGCAATCTAAAATTAAGGGCGATGCAAATGTTGCCTTTCCACTACAAGTTTATTAATTATAGATTAGATATCAAAAAATTATAAATAAGTACCTTGTAAAAAATTAATACTGATTATTTTTTCAAAATTACGAATAAATTCTAATAGATCAATATTATATATTTCTAATAATTAATGTAAAAGACTAAAATATCATTTTAACCATTAACTAGTTATTGAATAATAATCAAATTACCATTGCGTTACTAGTGAGTAATTAAAAATATTATACTTATTTTCACAATATCTTATTAAAATCTTAATATTTTACTATTTTATAATTTAAATATTACTATTTACAAAATTTTATTGAAATTTGTCCCCACCCTTCCTGTCCTATTCTGCCTCTGGTTGAGGCAGACAACAAAATTCAGAGAGCATATTATCGAACACACAGAACTAGAGATTTGTTTTGCCAAGCAGTGAGAACAGCCCACGGTAGAAAATAATGATAACATGAAGACATGCTACAAATAATAAATAAAATGCATAAATCTGAGAACTTATGGCTTAAATAGGAGAGGCTGATGAATTTCAGCAGGAGCTTCTAACTTCTGGTCTGCTGGGGAATCTCCATAGCTGCCTTGAGTATCATCTCAAGGGCAGTTTTGAGGCAGGAACTCAGCTTGTCTTCGTTTATGAAATGCTTTTCTGTCTTGAGCGTCACTCTTAGCACTCCCATGTAGCTTATTATTGATATCACAAGGCTCTGTCACCCATAAAATTCTCAGTGTTGTTAGCTCTGTCAAACTTACTCTTTCTTTTAGATCGGTAATTTACTAACTCTTTGATTGCCAGAAATTTAATGGAAAAATGAAATACCTCAGGACCTCCAGCCAGTGTGAAATACAAGCCTTTCACAGGATAATTGGCCAAAGACATTGGTTGTGATGGTCCAATCAAGTTTGTAATTACCATACTTGATCTTGACAGTGTCCCATGAATGCGTTTAGCCACTGCCTGCAACGACACCACATGCACCAAACAAACACCATTTCAATGATCGAGAAGCTTCACAAAGAAAGTGTGGTTTATAAGTTTAAGAGACTTCATCTAATTGTTTAGTCTCTTGGAATGAATTTTCCCTTTGAATTTACTTTTCTCTTAAAAGTTTGAAGGGCTCTCTCATTTAAAGACTAGTCTTTTGAAATTGGTTCTTATTTTGGGCTTAATGTCACGAATGATATCTTCGTGACCGTGTAAAGACTAATGTAATAAACGATCCGCTGGTTAGCCTCGCACAATATGGGTAAAGGGGGTGACATTGGCATTGGGTGCGTTCTGCTTTAGTTTTCGGGCTAAGTGCACAACTGGTCGGGGGCTAGTGCCGCCTCCCTGATGAGCCCATGGCAGGGTGAAACTAGTGTGATCCGTATATAGTAGGCTTGTCTCGGAGATTATGGGGTCTTCACGACGCCGCACGGGCGCCGTGTGCTGCACCAGACTCTCAGCCCGTGACAGAGTAGTATTAGAGGGGGATGTACTTTATTGCTGTGTGCCTGTGGAGTCTCACATTGTGACTAGTCGATTTCGACACCGCTCCAGAAGGCCTGCGTGGTGTAGATGGGTCTAAAAATAGGGACTCGGGCGGGAAGGTTGGCCGTGGTCGACTCCACTCCTGATGGCTCGCGGGTGCAAGTGGGTCCGAAGAGTGCAGGACTCGGGTGGCCATTCAGCAGTGAGCTGACGTGTGTGTGGCAGTATTATACGTGCGATCTTTGGGCAGAGTCTTTCTCCCCTAGCACGAGGGCATACTAGATTGGGTGTGGGAGAATGTCACGAATGATATCTTCGTGACCGTGTAAAGACCAATGTAATGAACGATCCACTGGTTAGCCTCGCACAATATGGTTAAAGGGGGCGACATTGGCATTGGGTGCGTTCTGCTTTAGTCTTCGGGCTAAGTGCACAACTGGTCGGGGGCTAGTACCGCCTCCCTGATGAGCTCATGGCAGGGCGAAACCAGTGTGATCGGTATGTGATAAGGTTTGTCTCAGGGATTATGGGGTTTTCGAGACGTCGCACGGGCGCTGTATGCTGCGCCAGACTTTCAGCCCGTGACATTAAGCTCTTAATATTGTGCTACTTTGGTTTCTAAGAAAAGTGATGTTTTGTGATATTTTAAGATTTGTATTTTCCATTGAAGTTGCAACTGCTAGTCATCTAACTAAGGGACACACTATTTAATTTAACCAGATAGATATGTCTACACACGTACCTCGTGGCCTTTTATTTTTCTCTCTATATCCAGAAGCATCCCAGTGAGGGGAACAACCAAAGATTGTTTCTTCCTCTTGATTATACTATGTGCTTCCCAAACAAATTCGAGTGGATTTGAAATTCTTCCATTTTCTAACTTCGGAACTGGAACATGCAAAAACGATATGTGATTCCCCCATGGCCCTCTGGCCTTAGCATTAAGCATGTCATCCACCGACTGGTAACCTTCAACATCTCTTGTATTCAAAAGTACTAACGCAGTGCAGTTTGCAACCCTTGATTCATTATTAATTTCTTGCATATACAATCGAATCCCGCAAAAGAAAATTCCTGTGATTACATCGTTTATTGTCTGTATTTAAATGAAAGCAAAAAAGATAAGTGTAGGAAAACCAATAGAATTGTAAGTCGTTGAAAAGTCAAAAACTGTATAAAAAAAAAAAAACAAATCAACAAGTGTGTTTATTCCACTGGGTGGGACTCTAAGCGAGAATGAGAGCTTACCACTCCAAGCCTAGACTTGATGAGTTTGATTTGCTCAAGTGAGAATTCAGTGGTTGATATGGTGACCGGGCGAGTTTCCATTCCTTTGAATCCAGATCTGATTGGCGTCTCATCATCTTCGGTGACACTACTCTTCATTATGCCCCACCAGAAATCTTCTATGGTATTGTAGGCTAGCGACAGGATTGTAGAGAATTTGCTGAAGAAGCTTTTATTGACAGATTTTGATGGTTTCACGGAAGGGAAAGACAAAGAAAGAGAGGGATCATCGGCTCTCTGAAGACAAGAAAGAAGAGCGCCCATGAGAGAGTATCCATCTCCAAGGGCATGGTGGAGTTTGAATATGAGGCTACTTGCCGCATTGCTTGTAGGATAATTCACGATGTGAATTTCCCATAATGGTCTTTTTTCTGGAAGCTTCTCTAATGCTATTCTCGACAAGTAATCAGCGAAATACTTATCATATGATTTCACTGAATTGAATTCAGGAAATAAGGGAATGTTGATATGATCTTTCAAGTTTACGTCAACTTTCTTCCATCGTTTGTCCCCACTTCTGTCTTCAACCTGCTCTCAAAGGATATCATTATATTGCCTGTAAATTATATGTTACGTACACTAAAAATGAAATGCAAACAAATACTGAAAGTTGTTATGCGGTTGGTGATTTAAGTGAGGAACCTAAAAGTACTTGTAAGTAGTGATGCAACTCTTAGATGCTTTCGCTCTCCAGTACATGTCAGGCTACTATATATATCTGACATTTTTATAGTTATGTTTGTGATGATAGACTCTGTTGGACAGCAGTACAAGTGGCACAATTCTTCAGCTTCTAATGTTTATGTATCATATGAAGCGTAATTTTGTGAAACTTAAAAATAAATGAAGAATAATGTAAATTAGACATAAATGTATAAATAAGAGAGAAAGAAGCAAAGGGAGAAGGAGAAGGAGGGCGACCATGATGGAGGAGAAGCGAGGGTTGATGGGAAGGAAGAGACGTTGGAGGAGAGGAATTGCTTGAGATTCATCCAAAGGAACTTGGAACTCTAAAACGCCAATAATGTAAATGCAAAGCGCTGAGCTGTTGAAGTATTGTCCCACAGGACTCACTGGCACTTCTTCTTGGTACTGATTCGTCATGCTCCACTGTTGATCGGTCATATTAGCGAGATTATTTTAAGTTATTGCGGGGCTCCAAAAGCACTCTGAAGGTATGGGCACCTGAGGAGATCGATCAGATGCTGACATATATAGTTACATGGAATAATGAAAATGAGGAAGAGGACAGAAGAAATATGACAGGAAACGCTCCATAGACACATGGCAGGCAACTTGTGGTGGCTTCTTGTTCATCTGTAATTCTCAATACACATGCTCATTGATTTTCAGATGGAATCACTGGCCTGTATTTGGCGATGACTATACATTACTCTACAAGGCGCGCTTCAATAATCTGAGACTTTCACTACTCATGTGCATCGCACATCATGAACTATTTAGTTATTTATGTTCAAATTTTAATTATTTTCAAGGATAGAAGTAAACTGTGGGAGGTTGGGGCAATCCTTGTTCGTTTGCTTCTCTCTCTCTTTTTAAATGTGTATAATTAAAAAAAAAATCGGTTCACTTCTTCACAGTCGTAACTAATTCGGACGGGTCAATGGGTCATGAGTACACAAGTAGTGTTTTTTTTTTTTAACCTTTTTAACATCTGTTCTTTATATTTTACTCCTTCTGTTACTGTGTTATTGCTTTGTCCTTAATTTGTGTGGCTTTATAATATAATATAATATAACCATGTTCACATGAATCAAGAAAAGTTAATTATATATATTATTGAAATTGTTTAAAACTAAAATTGCTTTGATTTTTATTTTTACCTTGATAAATATCATAAATTTTAAAAATAAACGTTCTGTATCTCTTTAATTATTGGAAATTAAGAAGAATTGTATATTTGAAATAAAGCAATTATTCATGCTCGAATTTATATTTAGCATCACAAAATTCCTCTAGAAGATAACTTATACTCCCTCCAATTTTTAATATAAGATGAAGTTAACAAATTTCGTGGTTGTAAGAAATGATAATTATAAGATTAAAAGGCTAAAATATACCTTTAACCCATTAACTTTATACAAAATTTCATTTTGATCCTTTAGTTTTATAAAGTATTTTTAAGTCATTTAATTCTAACACCTTAATTTAATCACAAAATTTTTTATATTAAATTTTTAAATATTGATAAAATATTCTCAAATGTTGACATATTAAATTTAATTTTTTACAATAATAATGATCGATACAAAAAAAATTATTTAAAACTAATGGTGTTAGGATTTTATGACTGAAAAGATAGTTTATAAAATTAAGGGATCAAATATAAATTTTATATAAAGTTAGAGGATTAAAATTATACTTTAGCCAAAATTAAAATTTTAAGAAATATGTAACTTTTCAATTTTACCTTTCTTTGTAATTAATGATTAAAATAAATTATTGTTTAGGAGTTCAAATGACAATAAATATACAAAGGATAAACTTGAAAAAAAATTATTACTCTAACTTCTTATATTCAGGATTAAAAAAACTTTTAAACTTCATCTTATATTAAAGGCCAGAGTAATATATAACATTAAAAAAAAGTAGTACTAATAGATTAGAGTCTCACTTGAAGTGAGAAAAATATAGAAATTGCATTTTCTCCCACATTGTTGCTGGAGGGTACTGACTCTAACGTTGTTTGTAGTTTTGATTTGTGGCATAATTTATTAGTATGGTCCTGCATATAAATGCATGGGAGAGGGATAGCACAAGGACTGATGCAGTTCCAATTAATTGCATTTCTCTTTCTCTCGTATTAATTGTAGTTATATAATTGATTGGGCGTTGGGACCCTTTGTAATTTATATCTTTCTCGCATATTAAAAAATCGATCGATTAGTTTAATATGAAAAATGTAATGACTCAGGTTCTTTTGTAAGTCGCCTTTTAGAACATTGTTTGGTTCCTTAATATTAATATCAGTGGCTCACTCTCTTTCTGAGCAATTTTTTAAAGGATGTTTCCAAAAATGCTCTCCTGTCTTTTCCCAAAAGAAGATGAAAATCAAGCTGTTCAAAGATGTTTCAGTTTTAATTCGAAGAAATTCTACACACATCTCCAATCACTTTTATTCTTTTGTTTTGGATTCCCCCATTTCCAGTCTCTCTTCTTCTCATCATGAACGCGCCAATGCTTGAAAAGTGTCGTGGATGCATGGCATGGAAAATAGAAGGACTTGAAAAGGCAAAAGAAAAAATGACGTTATCGTTACCTATATATAAGATGCTAACTTATATAACTAGTTATGTTTAAGAGTAAACTTGAAAAAATGATTTATTTTTAAAATATTTTTATTAGTCTAACTAATTCACCTTAATTCTGGTGAATTAGTTAAAAGCAACATACAAAATGGAAAGACTGACGGAGTAAGTACAAAGAATATTCCACACAAATTTTGTAATTGATCGATTAGTTTAATTTTAAAAAGTACTCTCTTCGGTTTTATTTGCTAGTCACATTCTAGAATGTTTAATTTATTGGTTCTTTACATAAGTCATTTGACTTTTTTTTTTCTCTAATCTTTGATGTACAATGCTAAAAATACCTTCCAACAAATTTTAAAAAGTGCAATATTTTAATTTTTAAGAAAACTTTTCTCACATATCAGATCATTCTTTTTTAAAAAAAATTAGGACAAAATTGGAAATTAATTTACTTTCAAGATGATTTTATTATCCTTACTTGGAGTAACTTACTCTTTTTGAATCATAATATAAGTCATTTCTTATAAACTCTTTAACTTAGTTAAAAATATAGGGTATTGGATAAGTATTATGTATTTTTTTAATTATAACCTTATTTTATTGAGTAATAAATGAGAGTGTTTTGAATAAGTTAAATATTATATTTATTGCAATCAATGGCATGATTAAAAAGATGTGCAATTTTTTAGAAAATCAATACCTTAACGTTTTTTTAAAAAATGTAAATTGGTTAATAATAATTTTGGAAGAATGTTTAGTAGTTCGCGGTTGTCGGATAACCGTCCAATTAATGTGATCGGTCATGAGTGCCCCGAATTATAGTCTCTGTTTCTCTTTGAAAGTGGTCGATATTTATTTGCTGATGGTAGTCGTTATCAAATATTATGTTTTTAAATCAAAAGATACTCACATATCATTAAACTGAAGGCCAACGTACCAGAGGCAATGCAACATGAAATAACCAAATAAAGGAAGAACACAAACAATTCAAAACCAAACAACACCAAGAATATCAGACGTAAAAATAGCTGCAGATCGATGAATTTATCATCTTCCGCACATGAGGTTAATTGGAATGGTAGACAAAGAAAGCGGTGGTGCCAACACACATGGCAAGGGGCACGTTATTTCCTTAAAAGCATCTGCTGCAAGGAAATCAACTGCTCAATTACGCCTTCTCGGAAAGAGCAACGACACAATCACGAATGACACATCCAATCATATAAATCAGGCTTATTGAGGGATATCAGACGAGTTTTGATAGTAGCAGACAGACAGTTTCAAAAATAATCTTATCGCAACCAACATCATTGGCGCTTTCAACTATCAATGCTTAATTTAATTAGGGATGGTAGTTTTTCACGTTTACACAAGATTTTTATATGTGTGTGTTTTTTTGTGTGTGTCTTGGAAAAGTACACATTGGCACAACATTAATATACTTCAAGAGATATAAACAAAATAAAAGATAGTCAATGGACAAAGATAAAATTGTACCCCCTTTATTTTAAATTATAAAATACTTTTAAATAAAATCTTATATATCAATAAACTTATTAAATACACTTTACAACTTTATTTTTTCAAGACAATAAAAATATAAACTTTAAAAAATATCTTTTATTTAATGCTTCATTGAAGAGAGAGAATATATGAGAATGATAATATTAAAAAGCATCATTAATGAAATTTTATTTTGGAAAAAATGATCTTTTAGCCTTCAATTTTTAATTCACTTGTAATTTAGTCTCTCAACTATGACTCGTCTATGACTCAGTCCCTCAACTTTTAAATCACTTACAAATTAGTCCTTGAACTTTTATTAATTTTTTTTATGTTAACTTATATCTCACATCAATGAGTAAGAGGAGGGTATTTTAGAATAATATATGAGCATTTTTGTATCCCTCTTATTTGATAAAATTTTTTTAAAAAAAATTAAAAAATAAGGACCGAATTATAAGTGAATCAAAAGTTGAGGAATTGAGTCACAATGAGTTATAGTTGAAAGACTGAGTCTCAACGAGTCATAATTGGGGGACTGAGTTACAAGTAAGTTAAAAGTTGATGGATTAAAAGATTAATTTTTCCTTCTATTTTTATCAAAGTGTCTTATGTTTTGATATATTAAAAAATATTTTATAATTTAAAACACAGGAAATATTTAATATTTTTGAAGATTACCATGCAACGAACTCTCTCTACTTCCAGATTGTTCCTCCACCGCCACATGTCATCTAAAACTTTTCTATTTTTTTCACTTCTGCATTCAATTAATGCTTTCTCTTAATTCACTTTATTCGAGGTGGACCCAGTTTTTTCCTTCTTGATTGAGTAGGGGTATTTAAAAAAAAAGATTAATAATTCCTAAAATTTTGAAAATTATCTTATGTATATGTGTGTATGTATATAAACACTATACCCTCCCAAATTTTATGTCATGTTTAATAAGTGTTTTAAAAGTCAAACCGAATTGCAAATCAGAAAAGTCAATAATTCACAATATATGGCTTAATCGGTTAAACGGACAGTCAAAATAATTAAATAAAAATAATATTGTATACATATATAACAATATAAATATAAAAAATAAATGTGAAATTGTTAAAAACTGTGCAAACAAGAATTAGCACCTGTCATATGAATTATTTAAAAAATATACTGATTGACAATTTACAATTATTGGTTCAGGTTCAGCCCGCCCAACGTTATCATTTAATTTTGGAATTTAGATTCATCTTTTTCGAAAAAGCTTTAGACCCATTTGATCCGGCGGTTCTCAATTCTTTAATTACTCGATTTGACCCGACTCAACTCGGCTTAACCTTTTGATTTTTGAAAAATTCGAGCCGTTATGCCATCTGGCCAATTGATGATCCAACTGGTCAGTCTCTTCA